CAAATGCTTTATAATATAGTATAGATATAAATTTACAGAAAATAAAATGAAAAACGAGTAATTACTTTTTTTTGAGGTCGTTGATGGATGTCTCTTGTCTACTACATTCACTGGTCATACATGTGTCGCTCCTTTGCATAAAACGCAGCGGATAATACGAAATACTCATCGTCTTCTTCTTTCTTCTTCATCTTATCTTTTATTACTTATGTATTTGTGTTTTAAGTCCTAAAATCAAACAAATATATATATATATATATATATATATATATATATATATATATATATATATATATATATATACAATCTATTCTCGTTGCCACCACCTACCATTTACCCTCTGTTATCCATCAATCTGTTTCCTCCATTTTTAGGGTTTATTATTTCAGGGATTGCCCTTTTCTTTTCTACTTCTATTCCGCAATGGGTTTCAAGTTTCAGGCTTTGGAATCTTAGGTAAACAAACATATACCACTCTTGCTACGAATTGTCAATTACACGCTATCCTATGTATGGTTATTACCCTCCTTGCTTCTCGCAGTTTTTTTTATTCTTCATCTATCTCTTTCTTTCTAGGGTTACTTGTTTCTCTTATCCTTATCATCTCACCCCTATCTTTTTATTGCATCAACTCTTTTCTGCTATGCTAAACAGTGACAGATACTTGCTCTACCACTTAATTTATGAATATTCCTTTACACATTTATTCACATGTCATGCAGATGTGGAAACGACCAAGGCCGTAAAGCTATGCACCTATATTATATATACCTGGAAGATCTTAGTTTCTAGTTGCTTTTATCATATCAATATCAAGTGCGCATGCTCTTCTATATTTCCCTTTCGTCAACAAAATCAGCTTGTACTTGCCGGACTGATTTTAATTGCTATATGTTTTGAGGATTCTTTATTTTCTTCAACACACAAAACTCATCTTGTCAAAATTGGGGCTCTTATCACCATTGTTTTCTGCCAAGTTTTTCTCTCGACCTCCCAAACGGCTAAACTTATCACCATTGTTTCTAGTGGGAGACTCGCATCAAATCGAACTTGCATCCTATCTTCACAAGGAAGATCATCATAGGCTTGTGCTTATAAAGCTAAAAGTGTACATGACAACACCTTGTGCTAGTCAGATTGGCATCAAGCCAAATTTGTATTGTGTCTATATATCATCTTATTCTTGTGCTGATATTGAAGAAGCTCACAGGCTTAGTTGACTACTACAACTCGGTGGTATTTGTATCTTGTACTTCAACTTCACACCAAGATCTAACTTACATGTATATTAATGCGTTATATCTTTGTCCCAAACTACTCATTACTCTATTCCATTAATGTTAGATCAATCCAACTTATTCTTAGCACTTACAGACGATGAATGGGTAAAGGCAATGGATAAAAATCCCTGCTTTGGAAAACAATCAAATCTAGACATTTATTGCTTTGCCTTGAAGAAAGATCACAGTGTGCAATCTCAATGCACCTCCAGCTTGTGGCGGATGGTCCATAAATATCAAACCAAAAGCTGGTCAAAGCAAGATTGCTCATGTTACAGTGCACTGGAGAAAACAATAACAGCAACTAAACAGCACACATCATAATTATTTAAAAATTGTTAATTGGTGCAAGGGATTGCAAATATTTTGTGCTTAGAACCTTCATTTTTTCTTCATCTAGTTACCTAGCTGCAAGTCAATAATATATTTGGTCAGTCCATGATTTTCTTCACCAATAGATTTTATAGTTTCTCCAAGATTTTCTTGTTCAATACGTTTTTGTTTCTCTCCATTATGAATTCCATGAGGTTTCAAAAGCTCATAGATGATCTGAGTGTTTTGCAATTTAATTATGTTGTGACAAGGAGTCAGCGGTGACAAATTATTTAAATGAATTGTATTTTTTGTATGTCAGTGTGCTCATGGAAAATATGTATATGTGGGTGGAGATTGATACAACACCTATCCATCAGCGTGCACTCTTCTGTTCAGGATTGTATATTTGAATGGCGGCAGATCAGCTGAATAAGCGTCCTAAAGTAACCAATATTATCCGTCATACTTCTTGGGAGCTGCAGAAAGTGAAAAAGAAGAAGTTTTCTCATTATGATTTAAACCCGAGGTCAAGTATTTCTCTCCAGTGGGATGACAAGAAGGAGCATGTTGTTCCTAAGAAGGAGCAGATAAGTATTGCACGCAGAGAGTTGGCTCCGTTTCTTCCTCTTGTTTTGCATTGCCAGAATGTCCTGGGTGATGTCTTTGCAGCTCCTCCTGAATTATTTGAACTAGATAACTTGATGGGTTTGCTATCTTATGAGGTAAGATTAACCTCGCGAGGGATGATTTAGTTTCTTTAGCTGCAGAGTTCTCTTTTGTCTGGATGTTTTGTTTATCTTTTGGAGCTTGCTATAGGTTTGGCAAACTCATTTGTCTGTACAAGAAAGAGAGTTTCTGACCCAGTTGCTTCCTGAAGGGGCTGAGCCGCGTGAAGTTGTTCACGAATTGTTAGCTGGGAATAATTTGTACTTTGGAAATCCATTCTCAAAATGGTAAATTCAATCACTCAACTAGAGCAAATTATAAGAATCTCCTTGGATTGTCGCTCATTTTGCAGATATTGTCTGTTATACCAATTTTCTGATGTTGGGAGTCTCTTAAACGAGTATTATTTTTTAAGTTGACCTCTCTATGCATTTGTTTTCATGTTTTTTTTTTCCCATTACTTTAGCCATGTGACCTGCAATGTCCTTGAAATGAGGGGTAAATTAGTCCAACAAAGTACTTCAGTTTTCAATTGTTTTCTGTTTTCTTTTAAGCTAAAACCTTTCAATCAGTCTCCATCTTCATCTCCATCTCCATTGTTCACATGAACCACATCACATGAAATATTAGTTCTTTTCCTACCTAGCAACCCTCGGCCTCCTCTGTTGTATGTGTCCATCAAGTCTCATCTCTATTAATCTTAGTCGCTGTAGCATCCGCTGACTCAAATGTGGGTTGTCAGTAACATTTTTCTTTTTGATTGAGAGGTTGCCATTAACTTTGGTGGATGGGGTCATGGCTTCTTGGTTTTGGACTTTTGTCCGGCTGCATCTTACATGTGAACGTGTTTGTGTGTATGTATGATTGCCCTTTGTTTCTCTAACTAGGATGGGAGGAAAGGTCACTGTTAGGTAATAACTTTCAACACAAATTTGGTTGTAAAGCTTCAAAACATTATTGCAGGAAAATTAGAAAATTAAGTTTTAAATGATGTCATTTTTTATTTCACATTCTAACTGACAATTTTGGTTGGTGATTTTGATTAGCAATTTTGAGTTTAATTTTTAGATTTTACATTGAATAGTTGGGGTGAAGTTCCTTTGTCTTCACGACTCAAAATTATATAAAGTTGTTGTAAAATGAGCAAATTTCTGGAGGAGTTATTGAGCCTGCTTGAAAATGGCCCAGCTCTGTATTTATGCTATTCTCATATTTTCTGCTCAACTTCGCAGTCAGTGATAATAATATTTCTTGACTTCGTAACCTTAAATAAAATAATTTTCAATTTGAAATTGGGTGAAAAGTGTGTGTGTGTGTGTGTGTGTGTTGGGTTGACTAGTGCTCGTGGAATCTAGTCGGGTAGGGCTGATGGTGACGGTGATGGCAATGGTTATGGTAAGAGGAGGTCCAACTGAAAGTAGAGGGTGGAGAGCCACTGGAGTCGGATTTTTTAGACTTCTAATTGATACTTGGGAAATGACAGTTATACCCTTCATTATTAGTAATGTGCGAGGCACATGATTAAGTTAATGGAGAAAATAGAAAATAAATGGATGAAACCAATTTGGTTGATCAGACTCGTTTGTGGGACCCAGTCTTTAAATATTAGGGTGAAGTTTGCATCAAGCAATAGTCATGGAATGGCCTATGTAATTAACTCCTTTTTACTTTTCTATAGGATTTTGTTAGACTATGCAAACTCTTAATAGTGGGATTCATGATACAGAAAACGTATTTTCTGTTTTTCTTAGCTATGATAAGGAAGCTGTAATGGCTTTAATTTTTGACCGTGAATTTACAGTTGGTTAAGTTATCTGTGATATTGCTGTGTAGGGGTGCTTCGATTTGTTCAGGTGATTGTCATCCTGATGCCATTCTCCGTCAAGAACAGTGTAACAAAGCTAACAAAATAGCATATTATTCAGAATTACACAAGTACCATTCTAAGTATGTCATCTTCTGTCCTGTCTCTTTCAATATATTTTTCTTATCTTACCACTTTCATGCTTTTATTTTCTTGGTAGTAATTTCTTATGCCATTTGGCAGAATGATTGGCAGTCTGCAGTTGTGGAAGGAAAGATGGGCAAGCTGTGTGAATTCAGAAAATGATTTTATGCAAAAGATACTGAGGTCAATTGTCCTTTTTACAACTTCTGAATTCATTTTGGAAGATTCTTCTTTTTTTTCTTCTTCTTCTTCTTCTTATTGTTATTCCCTTCTTGGGAACACATGGTTAGAAAGCAAGAAGCATTTACCCCTCTTGGTTGGCGATGGCCAGGTTTTTGGTTTAACGACTTGCGATAGTCCAACCCTTTTTCTCACTCTTGTTTCTTCTTTTCTTATTCTCCTGCTGGAAGTACTTAATCTGTTATTTTAAATATTTCCTTTCTTATATTGTTGACCATTAAACCTTACACCACTTGGTAGTAGGGTTGCACAATTGCCAAATTGACTGCACATGTTCATACAACATTGCATGCCTATCATATGATAGGTCTCTTTTGCTGACATTTGGTAAATCGAGTAGGATGTAGTTTTGTTTCTCGCCATGATGACAATGCAAATAGCTGCTGCTTTATCTGCAGCCTATTTGCTACTATGAATATGCACCATGCAGAGAGAATATAAGCTGTAAAGAATTGAAGAGACTATTAACATCTTACAGCCACATTTTTTAAACCCTGAAGCTCTAATCAACTCAATTGAGCCTTTCTTTCCGTTGTTAAGACTAGAAGGAAAGCTTTTCTAGCAACATAGCTTCTACTACATAGTTGATATAGTCTTAAGTTCTTAACCGAGGACTAGAAGGATGATTTTCTACTGCTCACTTGAGTAAGCTGAGCCGTTGAGGTTTATACCAAGAAGCTATGTAGGTAGGGTGTTTAACGGCAACAAAATTTTGATTCCGTACTTGCAATTATGAAACAGTCAAAGTGGATTTACCTCTCTGATAGGAAACATGCATTTGGTTTGTTTGAACCAGCAATCGGAACTGTTTTTCTTGCAATGTCCTTGAAGTCATCGCTAAACCTTCGAATAAATAGAATGCTCATTTTTGCAACAGCCTGAATCTGGGTTCTAATAATCGCTAAATTTTCTGTAACAGAATATGGGGAAATATAGAATGTTGTATGCCTGCAATGATATTAGCCTCACCAGGAAAGGTACTTTGCTTTATGGTGTATGGGCATTGGAAGTAAAATAACAAGATCATTGTATTCAAACTTATTTGCCTAGTCTAAAAATTGAATGCATTCGAATCTAAAAAGGAGCGGACAATCAAGCTCTGGAACATGAAAACCATCCTTTGAATTTTGATGTTTTCCTATATAAAGTTGACTTCAAACTTTAGTGATATTATTTGGTGACATAAATTTTCTTGCTGCCACCTTATTCCTCATGCTCTTATCCTATAAATCACACAAACATCAATCTCTGTATTGTTGTTCGATATGTAATCTTTTTTAGGCTCCTGTTGTATGTTGTCTCCCATGCTCAAATCAATATGTCTTTTCATCTATACCAACACCACTAAAACTGTATTTCTTATCATTTGTCATGATCTTGGTCTAACACACTTCAATTCAAGAGTGTTTCTCCATCGCTATGGGTTTTTATCCATAATTATAGTTCTTCTATATGTGATGCATGTTCATAGGATTATGTTAAAAATGACATGTAAAGCAACATAAGTTCTGTTAATATTAATCAAGTCATAATTCACTGGTGGGTTTGATAGAATGCTTAAAAAGAGGACAGCTGTATCAACTTACTGTGCATTAATTATTCTTATATAGATAAAAGATGTGCTTTGATGTAAATTTTGAAGTATACTAAAGATACAATTTTGAATCAAGTTTGACCTAGCAAAGGGCAATTAGATTTGTCTCCACAGGGAGCTTATGGATGCTCAAGGTCTGAGTGGAAGGAAATAGTTAATGATTTAATAACTTCTTACTTCACATAAGAACACATAAAGTAAGGTGCTGGAAACTTAAGGGTAGGAAACACAATGATTTTGGAATTTAATGGATAATGGATAACCTCCAACTCCCCCAAAGCTTTGCTGCTGAATATCAATTTCTCCTCCTGATTTTGTAATCAAAAGGTTTGAGTACAACTACTAACATACACTTGAAAAAGACGTGAACTCTACCCTCGATACATCCTATGCAACCTCACAGCTCCTGTCGTAACACCTGAGGACTAAGATGATGTGCTCAGAACGAGAAGTTAGCACTGTGATAAATCTCTTAAACTAACACAATGAAAGGCAGTCTGCAAGATTAAAAGCGAGACTATTATCTGCAAGATTAGACCGAACCTATTTACAAACCTCAAATGTATGATTACAAAGGTATATTTAGAGAAAAGCTAATGACAGGAAGTGAAAGCTGAATAAATAAATTATCACGGCCTTGATTTCATTTACTCCTGAAGTGGCTAGAAGCTTTACTACTCATACTCGGTGTCTTCGTTATGTCGTGCATAAAAGAACTGAAAAATAGACAACTGAATGATCAATGGATGCAACGTATCAAGTGTTTAGGCTTAAAATCTGGAGTAGGAGAAAGTGGGATTAATCTGGGGATGTGGGGGTGACTTCTGGTGAAAGAATATCATAATATTAGCGTTTTAAGGTTTTTGGTATGTCTGAGTCGAGTGTGAAGCAAAATCAGATCAACCTCATCAAATGAAGAAACTTCAAAGTGCTGCATGGCCAACAAAATGCTGAGCCTGATCTAATGCTGTGCACCACCTTTGCCGGGTCTCAGGAACTTTCCATCATTCTGCTGCAATCGGACATACCAAGTGTGTTGACTTGTGTTGGGTCTTGGGAAATTGGTCTTTTGTTTTAGGCATCACACTCCTGCACTGGAATTGGTCTGCACCCATGGATGGGACTTCCCTGGTGTCGGTTCTTTTGAGTTCCAAACATTTTTTCAGCCATGTAGCTGATACGAGTCAATTGGCAAAATCAAGATTAGCGGCCAAAAGTACCACTAATCGGATGCTTATTAAAATAAACCCTGGAATTCGAGGCCCAGTAATCTCCAATGTCTACGACAAGAATCAAAATACTAGCATGAATGCAAACAATRGGGTGGCTGGTCCCTTAAATAAGCCGTACCCTAATCCTCCAAAATAGGAAAACATACTTATCCTAAGAAACTAGTTAATAACTTTCCTAATCAACTAATTAATTCCTAATCAACTAATTAAGAATAAGGAAATTGCAAACAACCCCCCTCTACTTGTTTCCTGCCTCTCTTTTGCGACGCTGATATATCCGACCCCAATGTGGGTTGGGCTGAGACGTATCAGTAGCATGCCATTCTTGATATTGCATTCACTTGAAAACTACCAGAAATGGAAAGATATGCAACCACACAAGTGATTGACATGGTTTACAGTTTACGCCTTGCTTGTTAAATCTACTGGACCTTTTCATTTGTGTCCTACAGTGAAATCTATCTGATGCAAATGAGTTAAATGATACCTTTTATAATCGGAAAAGATTTCTGAACTTTTTAGACAAACAAAGAGTTGAAGCAAACTTGTGTTATGAGTTACAGCAATATTTTCATAGGATCATTTCTCTGTTTATTTTATTTTGTTTATTGATGGATATATGCTTCATGTCTTGAACAGGCCTAGAAAGGATTTTCACAAAAGTGGCTGCTCACATGAAAATGACATACTATATGGTCCTGAAGACAGTCGGGGTGCAACATCTGATTCTTTTTCCTGGGATGCTGATGATAAATCATGTAGTAGTGAGAGCCCAGATTTAACAATGATGAACGGAGAAAGTATAATGAGGTAATGCAGCACTTGCTTAAAGTTGGACTTCTGGTTTAGCTGTTCTGTTTGGTGGGACCAGTTACTTAAGCTTATGTGCTATGTTAGAATTAAGTCAATCCTTAATAAACTTGCATGCTTTCTATTGTTTAACTTTTGTAGTTTTTTTCTTTTTGACATTGGTCAATATATGAAATGTGTATTTTTTTTCCTTCTATAGTCCGAAGTACAATTTGTTTGGTCATCAAGGCTTGAGGATGCTAATACTATATGATCGTGCATCCTTTTTGCTGCCCTTGCTAAAAGTTTCATTAGCAGCATATTTATCTTGATACTCAGGCTTGTGATATTACATGATGGAAGATCTTAACATATTATCCATATTAGATGTGGATATCGTCTCTTTCAGTTTTGAATTCATTGCAGTTATGGAAATGTAATGTGGAGTGGACTGAATTGAAACTCTTTTTGGGATTCCCCTCTCAAACTATCAGCTTTCTTGTACCTCGTGATATATCTATTTATATAACATCATACATCACAGTTGGTATTCTCTGAAGTACTGTCTCTGTGTTTTATTTTGAAAATTCATAACTTCCCTTGTTTGTGGGCATGGTACCGTTACCTGGTCCAACTTGAAATATATTTTATGCTTTCTTGTCAGGGTATCCAGAATGGATTTGGAGAACAAATGTTACGACTCATCAGGTGGATGGAGATCGGTAGCAAGACGTAGAAAAGGAGATAGATTACACAGGCTTAATGTAGAGTGTGGTGATGGTGCCAAGTATATGTCATACATCAAGGTGTTCATCTTATTTTGAATCATATGAAAATTTTTGGGTGCCATAATGGATTTTCTGTTCTTTTTCTTCTTAGCACATTGATTTCGTTACAAGAAACAGACATTCTCATTGATTTTCTAGTTTCACTTTCGGGAGCTTCGCTTCTTTGTACCCCATCCATTGCATAAGAACTGGTATGCTCAAACTTTTATCAGAAGTGTCACTTTTAGGGTCCAAAATATGTGATTTATTTAGATGCAGAAGAAGCCAGGATACATTAAGTAAAAAGGGGGTACCTATACCAATGCAGTTTCTGGAACAAAGCCCACAACAATATCACTTTAACTTTAGATTTCAGACACAGAAATACTGCCACAGTTCACATAACTCTGGTTTGGGAATGTAATGAATATTCTCTTAACCAATCTAAAGCAATTACGTAGCCCTAATAAAATGAAGTCTAAAGTGCACCATGATTCAATACTTCTTTATGTTTTGATTCCTTGCTGGAGTACAAATATTTTTTAGGGTATAACTAGACTTTTCTCCCTCTGTGCACATGGCCAAGCAGGCTTAGTACTGGGCTTGCACATTTAATTGGAATACAAGCTCTGATTATGTGTGGGAACCATAGTATCATAAAGGTCCCAAATCTGATTTTCGAAACTTCTGATTCTTTCTTTTTTCCTGATAGTCTGGCATTGCTTTTGTCAGGTCAGCAAGGAGCAGCATCAGCGAGTTAAAAGCAGTATGAAACACTCTAACACCAGCATTCAGCCGAGGTCTCTTAATAATGTACTGGGGAATCTTGATAGTTTCTGTGTTCAACCATATGAAATGTTTGAGGAAGAGGAGAGACAGAAGCTGCGGGAGCACTGGTTTGTGCCTTGCCTTACAGACAAAGGTTTCTTATATGCGTATTTGATCTTACAAGATTCACTGTTTTTCTCCAGGTTGCATTTGGCAAAGAAAGATCTCTCTGCAGGCTTTGAGAATTGGAAACATTGGCGAGCTGCCAAGTGGCAATTGACAAAGTCTTTGAGGAAAGAAATGGAAGATAAATGGAAGTCGAATGGTCAGTCGGTTTTGAATCTGTACAATCAAGATGAAGAGAATGAAGAAAGTCGTATCTTGATACTTCATGGCACTTGCAATGCAACTTCAGATGATGGGATTGTGAATGCAACGAAGGTCAACATGATCTCTTTCTTGTCTGTGTTTTTGCTTTATCGGTTACTGGGGATCTTCATAAACATCTTGGAATAAGCAAAATTCTCAAGCCATCTTTTCTGTAACATGTAATTCCTGTCTTTTAGTGCCTTTGTTTAAAACTTATTTGAGTTCATAATTGGTGCTCAGGTTGAAGAGAAAGAGCAATTGCTTAGTAATCTGCATCATGAACGACAGGCTGATGGAGAAAAAGATGAACTTTCAATCCCACCTGAGGTTTGCAGAGTCGCTTTTTTTTTTTTTATGCGAGTCATTTGGGATATCTAAGAACTATCCAACTTGTGTTTATATACTGAAATACCTTTCCTGGTTGTTTCTCCCAGGTAGGCCTAAAGTTATTGTTTGTTAAATTCTGGGTTTACATTGTGATGTCCAGGATAATGAGGAACAAAATGCTGATCCCATATTCCAGTCGGTGGCAGATCTTAATGCAACAAATCATGAAACAGCAATGCAGATTGAACATACAGATGAATCTAGTCAAGACTCTGCTCACAATCGGCATCTGCCACAGATTGTTATACAAGATGGTGGCGAAAACTTCTGCGCCATGGCCATCAACGCCAATAATGATGTTTTCCCAGAATCAGATGCTTTCCCTTCTAATCTAGGTGAATATACTGAAAATATGAACCATGGAGATGCTCCTGTTGGTGAACAATTTCCTCTTCCCTCTGCTGCTGCCAGTGAAATATGGCCAGCAGTTAGCCTACCAAGTATGTACTATCATCAACCTTCATCTGTAAGCCATGGATATGCTTCTATTAATGCATTGTCACTTGGGCATCCCCAAGTTAGGCGAGACCCATCAAGCCAGGCGATTGTCCTAGAATCTGAGATGCAGCAAAAGGATACTCTTAGAAGTTTTCTGCAGAGACGATCTGATGGTGGTGATTCTTTTTTTTATCCATATGCTAATCAAGACCGTAACGAATTGCTACTGCATTCACTTTTCAAGGATCCAGGGAGCTCTTATCTTCATGAACAGAAGCTCTCTAGGCTAGGTTTTCATCCAGCAGGCAGTGAGGCAATGCTGGGCAGTGGTCAATTTCCCAGGAACTTGTGCTCATCATTGCCGTTGGATCCGAAGCAGAAAAGGCTGGGTGATGTCTCTATGCATCAGAACATTCAAGAAAACATATTTTCAGATGGAGGGGGCCGTTTCTTGATTCCGAGGCAAGAACACTTGTTGCCCCTCAATCATGTTCAGGATTGGCCTGGGAATGGTGGTGTTAACATGCCAATGTTAGCGCCATCCCAGCACCGGTTAAACAGCAGTGGAGAGCTCCCAAGTCAAAATTGGTTTTCTGATGATGAGGTGGTGTGTGATGGGTGGTCATCAGGTGGTGTAGTGCCAAACCAGGAGACAGGGAACGGTAGTCAGGTAGCAGATGAGAGCTTATTTAGCATTTTATCTCAGTGTAATGGGCTGCGTTCAGGTGTCCATTTTGGTTCAACTACAGGTGAGTTTATTCAGCCTGGGAACTATGTTGGGATGGGGCGTGGAGCAAGTGATGGTGTTAACTACATGAGTGGCAACGGAGGTCAATCTGGTGGGGCAAGGGCAAGAGGAGGCAGCAGTTTGGGATGGATAAATGTGCCACGGACATTGCAGGAGGGTGGGGGGAAATCATGGAATGATAAGGGGTTAGGATGATGTTGTAGGAGGGGAGGTCAGGTGTTGGAAATATAGACCAATAGTGTTATAGATGGAAAGGACATATAGTAAGAGTAGTATATCTGATTATGATTAAACTTTTGCAGGATTAATAAGGGTGGGAATGGTTCTGGTCTTCTATTTGTTGTTTTTAAAATTTTGGTGAAGGTCTGTCTACTTGCCATTCTGAGTGAATCTGATGTTGAAAATGAGGGATGAATGGAAAGCAATAGCAATCTATTTGAGAAATAGAAAAAGAGAAGAACGTTTGTTAGCTTAAAACATTCCTTTTTATTATTTATGGTTGGTAAATATCCATCTTAATTATTATATTAATTTCTCTCTTGCAATTTTAAACAATAATAAATTTGACAATAAGCAGCAGAATCATCGTCATCATCCATCATTGTTATCGGTATTTAGATATTATAACAAACAATATGTAAGAATATACCAAGTTCGGATGTTTTTTGGATTATCACGTAATATGTATGATATATATATATATATATATATATATATAGAGTGAGAGAGAGAGAGAGAGAGAGAGAGAATTCAAAGCTCAAATATACAAAAATAATATGAACTCTTATTATTATTATGCAAAGATATAGAGAGAGCAAGCAAAGGGTAAATCAAAAAGCATATGTAATGTGGGAGATCGGTAGATCAAAATCTTAAGTTTTACAAGAAAAAACTACTTGTAAGCGACTATAAAAATCTTAAGTTTTACGTGTAACCTCTATACATAGATCAAAAGTAGGGAGATCGGTAGCAGGGGCTAGGAATATGATAACCAATATGAAGAACATACAACGACAAGGCGACATAGAGCGGTGAGGGGAAGTGATAGCGTTGCTTGCAAGGAGTTTATAGGATATAAGGTTTGGAAATGATAAAACTGATTTAGGTTTAAAAAAAAAAAACCTTTTAATCGATTATAAATACTTTTTTTTTTTTGTTAAAAGAATGTAGGTAAATTTTTTTAAAAATTTGATTATTTATTTATTATAAAAATACATTTAAAAAAAGAAAATTTAATAGTTTTTCGAAACAGAAAAGAAAAGTACAAGTTCAAGAAATTAGTATAGTTGTTTGGGTTTTTTTGAAATTTTTCTTTAAAATTTGATGTAGTTGTTGTGATACAACATCAAATTTGACATTTGATGTTATACAATCAAGTCATATGATTTGATCTCTGCATAATTAATGACGTTACCGCACCGAACCGGCAGGAGCAAGGTTGGTTGGGTCCACTCTTGCTACACAAATTCAAATCTCCACGATTTCTCCATATTTGTCGCCCTGAAGAAGAGGAGAGTTGACTCTTAACTCCGTTCGAATCACGGTTGCCGATCATGGCCACTAGGAAAAATCTGACCACAACTAATCACCTCCGTCATGTGGAGTCAATGGCGACTCTGCCATCGGGTGCTGGCAAGATATCAGAGCTGAATGCTGTGATACTCGGTGAGTCTCTTGCATCCGAGGAGGACGATCTCATCTTACCCAGTCCCGATTTCTCCCAACAGGCTTACGTCCCCTCTCCCCAAAAGGTATCATTCCACCCTCTTTCAAACATTAACAGTAACAGATCCTCCGTTCCAAAATTAGAGTGGGTGTTTAGTCAAATACATAAGCTTTGAACTATAGAATTGATAAAAAAAAAAAGGTTTCTTTTCATTATTGAGAAAGAATTGGTGGCTACATTACCCTATTAAGATATATTACAATGAAAATATCTTGACCTAAAAAAGAAAAATAAGACAGAAATCGAATTTCAATGAACGGTTCTACTTTGAATTTTAAAATACGAAGTGAACTCTAATCATAAGAAGGAAGGAAGATTCGGAGCCTTATTCTCATTACACCCTTTGGTAAACTGGCATTACTATCTTTTAATGAACATTTTCATCATATATCTGAAAAACTGATGATCCGGGGCACTATTTCAGTACTTGGAGATGTACAAGAGGTCAATCCAAGACACTGCTGGCTTTTGGTCTGATATTGCATTGGAATTCTATTGGAAAGAGAAATGGGGTCAACAGGTTTACTCAGAGAATCTCGATGTCACAAAAGGGAATATCAACATTCAGGTAAATAGTTCTCTACTTTTCCCGGATTCTGCTTCTTTGATCTTATATCACACGCATAACCAGCTGATGGTCATTCCTATCTATCTATCTATCTATCTCGCTACTCAGTGGTTCAAGGGTGGTATCACCAATATCTGCTATAACTGCTTGGATAAAAACATAGATTCTGGGAATGGCGATAAAATTGCAATTCATTGGGAAGGAAATGAGCCTGATCTGGATGGCTCATTGACTTACAGACAACTGCTTGAGAGAGTTTGCCAGGTTTTATGCTTTCACAGCTTCTTTTACTTTCTCTGTTATTGTGTATACACGTTATTAAATTGTTGTTACATTTTCCATCCTTTTGACAGCTTGCAAATTTTTTGAAAGACAATGGTGTTAAAAAGGGTGATACTGTAATTATTTACTTACCCATGCTCATGGAACTGCCAATCGCGATGCTGGCATGCGCCCGCATTGGTGCCGTTCACTCGGTACTGCTTAGCAATGCCTTTCACATCCTATAATAACTATCTATATTTTATTTCTTGATCATCTAGAAAAATTTAACACCTAGTTACATTTGATTTTCAGGTTGTTTTTGCTGGATATTCTGCAGAATCGCTTCTCCAAAGAATTATGGATTGCAAACCAAAGATTGTGGTAACTTGCAATGCGGTTAGAAGAGGGAATAAAATAATCAATCTCAAAGACATTGTTGACGCTGCACTCTCAGAATCATCTCAAAATGGAATCTCTGTAGGTGAACTTCTGTCCTTAAGTTGAGCTATTTGCAGAGGTTTACGTTTCATTAGTGGAGTAAGTACATGTATATGTTGGATTTTAAAAATCTTGGGATGCAAAAGTTGAGGAACTTAAACAAAATGAGAGAATGGATTTAAACATTTTGCAAACCATCTAATCTTAATTCATCAAAATTTTTTTATAGGTATATCCGAATAAGCTTACCCAGGGTCTTGGTTTTGACTTATATTTGAAAATATGTGATTTAGACTTGAGAATCGGTTTTTAAACCATTTTATTTTCTTGTATAGGCGGGGAATTAACATGTTTCTAGGTTACGAGACGATTTTCGGCCTGAAAATATTTGTTGGTTAAGGTACACATTTGCAAGTTGAAAATCAAAACGCCTTTCATGGCAGCTTGAAAAACCAAAATCCCCCCTTGATAGAATCAAGTTAATGCTTACTCTGTGTTCTCATTGTAACCCCCTTAACCACAGGGATGGTACTGTACTAAACACATGGATATAAAGGAAATAACATAATTTATATGGGCTCTTGGTTTGGATGCTGGATTTTGTTACTGGGAAATACAAACTTAAATCATGTTCTTGAGTGCGTGTAAATCATCCTTTCCAATCCTTTAAAGAAAAAAACAAACAAAATCCTTACCATGTTATTGATGTTTAAAGTTTTTCTTTTTACGTATTCGCTTCTCTGAACATAAATTGGTTGGGGGGCATAAACAGTGTATAATACAAAAACAAAACTAAATACACAGGCAAAACTTATGCAAAATAAAAATTTATCACTTCCTATCTGTTTCCCTCGTGCAAAATCACCAAGTTTTTCATTTTGCTGGTACCAAAAACACAAGGATCTTGGGTCACCTATAATTTCTCACGGAAAACAGAAATGAGCCGCTTTATGTCTCTCTCTCTCTCACTCTCACTCTCAAACACACACAATGCCTTTTATTACTTATCAACTCCAGAATGTGCTATGTCATGACAGGAGTCTTCACCTGAGATTATCTCTTTCAAACCCCATCCTTTAGCCATGAATAAGAGAGTTCTCTCCTGAAAGGGTAGTGACAATGTAAAATGTTCCTTTTTGTTATGTATTAATTTTGTCATATGACATAAATATATAAGAGTATTTGGTTAGGTTTTAATTCACCCTTGAAAGAAGGTCATGTGCACAGAGATGGACATTATTTGTAGTTCTTTTGGACAGGAAAGAGGGGTTTAGAAACACTTAGAAAATTAAGGAACTTACTTCAATTTGAAGTCTAATGACCTTATTAAGGTTAAGCTTTGGAAACCATTTTCCCTTTAATGTATATGACACTTAAATTCAAATATCTCGCACAATAATGATGTATCTTTGACATAAACTAAACCTCAGAGAGGAAAGCAAAGTCTAATGGTAATGAACAAAATAAATGTCCAGGAAGCTACTAATAAATTTAATGCCTAAGTTGGTCAACAATAGTTACATGGAGGAAACAAAAGAAGCCAGTATTGAGCAGGAAGTCCCACCTGAGGATACTAATAATCAACAAGATACAAAAGAAGAGGAGTCTTACCTAGAACCAAAGGCCTGATATAGTACTAACCCGTTTCGGAACACATGTAATGATCTAAATTATAAACAGGACAATAATAATTTTAAACTCATTAAATCTTGCTGCTAACAGGGACCTTCGATCTCTTGTTTTTTTACTGTGCTAGTAGTTGATGTTTTCACAACACATCTATTTTACATTTCCATGACCTTGTTTTCTCTCTGTCAAAAACAGATTCATGCTTGACGTACGAAAATGAATCAGCCATGAAGAAGGAAGCTACTAAATGGCAAAAAGGAAGAGATGTTTGGTGGCAGGTAGTAATTCTATGTGGTTTATACTCTACTCTTAACTTCTTTTCTTGCACAGTGTAAAGAACAAAGGATGCTCTATTAGAGGTGGGCATGAGGTGTCCAAAAATATCCTGTCTGGTCAATGACCTAGTAGTCAAAGTGGTCCGATAAAAGCCTGGACCGGTCCCGATCTGGCAGACTAGGGACCAATTAAGAATTGGCAGTCCAGACAGGTCCGGTCTTGGTAGTGCTTTGGCCTAGCCCGTTTGGTCTGGGCCTCTGTCTGATATCTTTGATGTAATACAATAACATAAACTATATTGTATACATTATTAATTATTATACATGATTAATTTTGCATACGCTGCCTATTGCCCCTTCTTTAAGTTTGGAGACTTCTGATCTTATATTTTTTTCTTTACTTTTGTGGGTCTTTTGCACATATGCTAAACCATTTAATTTCTAAGTTATCATTATATGATCATGTGCATTAAACTTCTAGGCTCTTTTAGAAATGTCTTAGGGATGTATGGGTAACATGTTGGACTTTTCATATATGAAGTTGGATGCAAAATTTTTCCACGTCGATCACTGTTGCATTACATCAAGAAGGAGCCGAAGAGACTTTTACAACAGTTTTTGAAGGAAGGGGATGCCTAATCTTGGCATATCATCTCATTTTTTATGATATGTGTTTCTCTGGAACGGACACAGGTGGAAAAACAATTATCTTTTATATGTTTGTCATGTCTTCTTGGCCTTTTGGAGATCTGGGTTGTTCCTCTTTCTGTTGAAAACATATGTATTGTTAAACTGTAACTTTTTAATCCTCACGCTTGGTATTGGTAGTGGTTCAATCTTCATAAGCATGCTTCATGTTGGACTATCTTTCTGATTGTAGCTCAGTAGTTCACTTGCCTTCTAATTTTTCCAGGATGTCGTTCCAAAATACGCTACTAAGTGTGATGTGGAGTGGGTTGATGCGGAGGATCCACTTTTCCTTCTTTATACTAGTGGAAGTACTGGAAAGCCCAAGGTATTTAAGTTCCTTATCATCCTGAAGTATCTTTTTCTTTTTGGTTTGTGGTCGAGTTCTATAATGAATCATGCCTGTGCATTTGATAGGGTGTTCTGCATACTACAGGAGGATACATGATATACACTGCAACAACATTCAAATATGCATTCGACTATAAAGAATCTGATATATACTGGTATGTCTTAATTTCTGAAAATCTAGTTTATCCTGATTCTGGGAAAAATACTAATATGTAGTGGCATCACATTGCGTACTTCCAAAAGGAAGATCTATCAATTGTATACCTATGTTCTAATAAAAATATTAATTAAAAAGTTACATCATATATTAATCAAATTAGTTAACAAAGGTCATTAGGAAAAGTTGAGGTTAACGTTTTCTTCGTCAAATTCCCTTTTTTCTCTCGTCCCAAATTAATCATTTTTAATAGTTAATTTAATCAAAATTGGAAGAAGATGATGTAATTAATATTATTGCAAGTGTAAGCATGTAGCTAATAAATTTTGTTTTGTTTTAGTATGTAGTTATAAAACTGTGAAACTGCGACGTGCTTATCTATTTCTCCTTTGTAAGCTGATGTTTCATTGCATAGAGAAAACCTGATATCTAACAAGGGATTTAGTACATTTTTGTTTTCATACATAGGGATGCCCCATTCAATACAAGCAGTCAATTTCATCCCCTGGCTTGCACGAGTGTGCTCTCCTCACCTTCTAACCATATTATAGGTTAACCAAAACCCCTTAATCTCGGCTAAATCACAATTACACCAAATGATTGATGTAAAATCACCAACAGATTTCAGTTTCATACATAGGGACGTGTCATCCACTACAAGCAGTCAATTTTATCTCCTGGCTTTCTGATGGTGTTTGTAATATATCATAATCAATTTTAAAATGGTTTCTAAGTTTGCTTCTTTGTCTTCTCTCGCATGTGTGCTTAGACTGCTAGGTTCTATTTCCACCCGTATACAAAGCATATTCTGATATCTTTGAGAGCCATCTTGGATAGGATAAGTGAACACTGTGCAAAGGGAAGAGGCTTAAACATGTTAACCAACTGATACTAAGATCGAATAGGCATTTGTTTCTTAACTGAGATGTTAGAGTTATGTTTTAGAGGCTGAATGTGAAGCCTACCTGCATGACAATGGACTTCATGATGAACAGGGTTATATGGGAGGCTAGTTGGAAGCTAAATTATTAGAGTCACTAGGTCCAATATTATCTTTGTCGTGTGTATAGTGAGTTAGTTCATAGCATCTCCTTGTACCGATCGAGATCAACTTCAAGTATCTCAAATGTGCTCTAGAGTGAGGTATTTTGTATACTGATTATAGACATACCATGGTTGCAGATTCCTGATGCCTACGATGCAGGTTCTCTGTGCAAGAATAGATCTAATGTGACACATTGTGTATCCTTTTGATTAACCTGACATCTTGGAAAATATGAAGCATAATTGTTTCTCAATAGCTGTACACAAGTCTTGAATGTTGGGTTCAATAACAATGTTATGTAGTAACACACTGAGAGGAGAGGCCCAAAGAGTCAGGCAGTCAAGAGCTGCCGTTGTACTTGTTCACTCATTGTGGAAGTAGTGAGCCCACATGAGCACGCCAATTTAACATGGCTCCATACCCTGTAGCTTGGGTAAGGTGGAGTAGACATAGGGTTTGTTGCAACACTCCTCAAGTTAGAACATAGATGATAGAAGTCAATCATGCCCAACTACCTTCTCGTGAACAAAGTGGCAGTGTACTAACAAGTCTGTAAGGTTCAGGCATTTCACTTAACTATGTTAAAGGGCATAGCCATTGTTAAGAGGCGGTATCTACACCCTCTTGATTGAAACCGTTTCCTTTGGTAGTCGGATTTCTAATTAGTTTTTGCTGCTTTGGTGTTATCCTATACATTTTCAATAGGTTGGTGTATATATATTTGAAGCTAGTTAAGCATTTTCCTCTGCTAATAACTTACACTATTGTGTCTGTCCAAGAAATGGACAGAAAGTGCTAACACTTGTTTCCTCTGAAATTCTAGGTGTACAGCCGACTGTGGTTGGATTACTGGACACAGCTATGTTACTTATGGACCTCTGCTTAATGGAGCAACAACTGTAGTTTATGAAGGGGTAAAGCAATTCAGTTTAGGTGTATTGTCCTGATAACCAGGGGTTCAGCATTCAGGGTTACAGATAATCTAATACAATGGTTATCATCTTATGATGCATTGCATTAAGGATGTTCATTTTTCTGTCATGCTTTCATGTTGAAAGGAAAACGTTTTGGTCTTCTCAGCACATTGAAATCACTATAATTTAACAGAAGGATTAAGATGTTAATTGATACCTATCAAGTGTTAAATAGTTGAGATCTTCATGTTATTTTTGGAAAATACTGGCATATGTACATGTCTACGATTTTATAATAAGTTGTTTCTGATAGTTTAACTAACCTTAATATATTTTCTTGAACTCCACTTTTAAATATTTGCATGATAAATGATAAATTTGTGCAGAACTTTGATACGTTTTTAACATCATGCTCTTACTATTAGTTCTTACTCTATACAATATATGCATCATTTCAGTGAGCTAAATTTCCAGGAGAGACCCAACTTTCTGTTTCTTAAAAACAACGAGAGACTCCTATAGCTCATTTAAGAAAATGTGAAAGGGAAAATTTTCTTGTTGGAAGACCGAATGAATAGTTTCTATTCAGCACATGTGTTTTGGGGACAGTGTGAATGTGTAGTCACAATCAGCTTATAGGTTGTGTGGATTACTTTCTGTTGTTAGAATATGTAAATATTCTCTAGGATTTTGTAAATATTTCCCAGTATCTTTTTGATAGTTTCCTGATATGTACCTCCCATAACCTTTGTATATATATTTATCTTAATGGAATGAACAGCTGAGGATGTTTGAAAATATGAAGAAGTTAAAAAATAGCCATGGATATCAGCACAAAAGAATATAAATGAGATCACCAACACATTAGAATGGACCAATAACTGAAGTCAAGACACGTCTTTTTCTTAGATTGGGTGTCTTGACTTTTGGGTTTATGTTTTATTGAACTAGGAACTTTTGATATGAGATAACATCTTTTGACACTGTAAATAAATGCTACCTGCAGGTTCCTAACTACCCAGATTCTGGACGCTGCTGGGACATTGTTGACAAGTACAAGGTGACGATATTCTACACTGCTCCTACACTGGTGCGGTCTCTTATGCGTGACGGCAACGAGGCAAGGGGTCTCTTCTTCTGTGTATATCTGATGTGTTATACCTATTTATGTGATCCTATCTGGTTTGGATATTTTGTTTAATCATATATCTTTTACTCCCTGCTTACATCACGTCTCAGCATCAACAAGAAAACAACCCAGAAATCTTTGTTATCAACAATATAGATAGATGCTAAATCAAGATAATATAGTTCTTTGCATTGTTATTCATTACTAATGTTACTTGGCTATTTGGCTCTTCTCCAATATCTCCATAATCCACTTCTCATGTAAATTATTACAAAGGGTGGAAGGCCACATCTATGTATACTTCCAATGAGTTGAATTGTATATTTTAGTCAGAAGTGCAGTATTCAGCATGTAATATGTACTGGGCCTGCAGTTAACTAAACAAGGGTCTATTTTTCGGCTTGCAGAATGATATATAAAAAGATAAAGTAACTTTTTTGGATTCTGAGTGGATGATAGTAACAAGACATCAAGACCTCGTGTCATCCACAACAATTAAGGCCTCTGTATGCCTGTCCCACCAAAGCCTCTGTAATAGGGCACAATCTCAAAGTATCATGCCACCTCTTAAGTTAGTATTTCCATAAGAAGTATTTGCACCTAGTGGCTTTGTCTCTATGGCAACAATACTCATACCAGACTAAATGCTTATTGTTAAAACATTAATCCCTGTTTTGGATATGAAAGACTTAGGAGTATAATGAATTAGAAAGTGAATAGCTTTGAAGAATTCTTCCAAGCTGGATTTTCGTCCAGTATTTCCTCCAAAAGTCTTTTGTGCTGGTGTTCTACATGGTGCACCCCTAGGAGTTGCTACCAGATCTGACTTCTTACCAAGGGAAATGGAGGATGGTCAAAATATGATGATTGATGGAAGGTGAAAATTAGTCTGGCAAGCAACAACAGGGTGGCTTGGCTTAAAAGAAGTCAAATGGTACCGTGGATAGATACAAAGACCAGTTGCTTGCCCAATGCTTTCTCAGATATGCATTGACAACATGGAATGCTTCTAGTAAAGATAATGTAATGTATGGTGGTGAGAGAGTATGCTATATAAACAACATAGAAAAAATCATGAAGCCGTACCCGACAGTGGCTTCTCATCCAAGAGGTCTAACAAAATCAACAATGTTTATACACTAACACTAGAATCATATTTCACTAAATTGTCTTAGAGAGTTTATTACTTTACCGAGTATTACTTTAAAGAGGAAAGAAAGAGAGAGAGAGGTGTAATCTTGTGTGTTCTTGACCATGCAGTATGTTACTCGCTATTCTCGTAAATCTTTACGCGTCCTTGGTAGTGTTGGTGAGCCGATCAACCCAAGTGCATGGAGGTTCTTTCCCAAATCAACTTCCAATTGTTTCTTCAGAAGACGATGTTTTTGTATGTGCTCCATTATAAAATTTATTTTTTTGACTTGACAGGTGGTTTTTCAATGTAGTTGGAGATTCAAGGTGTCCCATATCAGATACCTGGTGGCAAACAGAGACGGGGGGCTTCATGGTATACACTTGTATAAATATTTTTTCATCTGTCATATATTCATATGCCATTAATGTCAAACTATTATTGGCGTTCACCATCATTCCCTCCAGATTACTCCCTTGCCGGGCGCATGGCCTCTGAAACCTGGTTCTGCCACTTTCCCATTTTTCGGGGTTCAGGTATCCTACAGACGATTGAACTGCATATGTTTCACCATTATTATTTGATCTTTTCTAACTCTCTTTTTCCTACCTCCCTAAAAAAATTCAGCCTGTCATAGTGGATGAGAAGGGAAATGAAATTGAAGGTGAGTGCAGCGGCTATTTATGTGTTAAAAGCTCATGGCCAGGGGCATTCAGGACTCTCTATGGTGATCATGAGAGATATGAAACGACTTATTTCAGGGCGTTCCCTGGCTATTATTTTAGTGGTGATGGCTGCAGTAGGTAATAACGTGTTGAGTATCATAAAATTTCGTTTATGTGTTAGTTTTCATATGTGAAACATGCCCACATGGACACATTTACAGCACCTTGTGAAGTTTCAACCACATACCCTGGGTAACTTGAGTGAGGTCGATACTTTCTGTCAAAAAGCCTCTTGGTATATATCCGTCATGTTTAGATGATTCTTTCCTAATCTGTTTTACGTTTTCTTCTCTTACGTCTTCAAATATGTCGTTAGCTAGAACGTTTAATTGTGTTTTAGGGACAAGGATGGATATCATTGGCTTACAGGGAGAGTTGATGATGTAATTAATGTCAGGTATCTTCATTAACTCGTCGTTTATGTATCTATATCTCTCCTATATATCCAAGTACCAATCCTTTTCTTTAACTGTATTAAGTTTTTGTGGACAACTGTTAGCACCCAAAACAATGAATTTAGACTGAAGAAGGAAAAATAAAAAGAATAAGGTAGAACATGACAAAAATAGACTTGTCAAATCGCCAACTTGGACATGTTGAATTTGGCAATTGAATCGAATAATCTCATGAATGAGTTTTTTTATCATGCTGCACATAGTTGTTAAAAGCGCTTCTGCCTAGGCTCTGAGGCTCATGAGTCTCAAGGTCATGGGCTTTTTTCAAGTTAAGGCTTAGCGTAACGAGGCTCACTAAGGCACTGCACCTTGTGGGCCTAGGTGCGCCTCATAAAGAGTTACTAAATACCTAGTTAAACCCTAAAATTAAATAAGTTTTCTCATCTTCCCATCTCTTAGATTTCTTAAGGAAGTGTTATTAAATAGATGACATAAGTCAAACCCTAATATTAAATACTAAGTCCTTAGAACTTCAAGTCTCCTTCTCTATAAATACCCAGACCTTAAAACTTCTTCATGGCTCACGCTTAAAACCCTTCTGCCTCTATCGAAGTACTATTGGTTGTTGCATTGGAGACTTGTTGTGTGTAACTATGTGTGTGAGTGTGTTTGTGTGTATTGATAACTTGCGCCTCGCATTCCTGAGCCCCGGGCCTCACGCCTACTCCTTGCACGTAGGCCCCACGACCCCGTTGCGCCTAAGTGCGCCTTGAGCCTTAAACAACTTTGATGCTGCATCAACTACTATGTGTATGTGAAGAGAGAAATCATTTAAATTCAAATTTGAATGTGAAGTTAGAGGAAGTTGGATGCATACTAAAGGACACTTGCATTTGTTGGACACTTTTTGATCTCCCAAGCTTTGGAAGGACTTACATGTATGCAATAATCACTCACCAATAGCAACCAMKT